TATTTTTAAATACGTAACCATTTATTTAAGAAAGGAGTTATAGGCTGATATCATGACATGAATATGCAAGGGAATAGAATCCCTGAATATAAAAAAAAAAATGTTGAAACAACTGAAAGTTAGGGATCAAATTGAATAAAACAAAAGATTGAGATGAAAATGAAAACTCATTAGAAACAGTAAGGATACAAAAGCATATTAACCAGTTCAGCGGAACAAAGAATTCAAGCTCGCTTCTTTGGTTACGGTTTGGAATCGAGGAAGAGAAGCGGTGCGGCAGCTGCGGTGGCGATGAAGGGCGTCGGACGATTGTTAAGGAAAGTTTCTTCCTGTCAAGCATACCAATCCTTCGCCGGGAATACTACAATCACTTCCCGTTTAATCACTTGCCGCTTCATTTTTGCTTCGTCGGCGACATCAAGTCCTTCGTTTCTGGTAAACGGACGGCGAGATTTTGCCGGTTCTTCCCATCCCGAGTCTGTGAGATCTTCTTTGCTTCCTCAAAAATGGATCAATTTCATAGGTCGGTGGACCTTCAAATGATTTGTGCTCTCTCTGTTCTTATTCTTTTTCTTGTTCTGAATTCCAAGCTAAAAACTTTAAAGAACAGATGTTATTCAATTTGGATGAACTTCGATTGAGGTTGAAGGAATTGAGAAAATGAGAGGTGTTTGATTTGGGTATTAATTTTTTTGGTGCTGGTTTTGTACAGGGCAGAGGAGGACCATGTTTATTCAAACTCAATCCACTCCTAATCCTTCTTCTCTGATGTTTTATCCCGGGAAGCCGGTTATGGAAATTGGTAGTTCAGATTTCCCCAATGCTCGTTCAGCGATGAATTCTCCATTGGCAAAAGCCTTATTCGGAATTGATGGTAAAGCTCAGCATAATTATGATTAGGCATCAATAGATACTCTTATAGTCTGCACTATTCATATTGATGGTGAACTGATAAAAGAGGTGAATTTGTTTGATTATGATACAGGTGTTACTCGAGTTTTCTTTGGATCTGATTTTGTCACGGTAACAAAGTCAGATGATTTCTCCTGGGATCTCCTCAAGCCTGAAATTTTTGCAGCAATTATGGACTTCTATACTTCTGGGCAGTCACTGTTTCTGGACTCAAAAGCTGCAGCAGCCATGGACACTGCTATTCATGAAGTATATTTTTAAGCTTTCTGTTATCTATTTCAAATCTTAAAGGCTACTGCTTGACCAGTGAATAAATATGTCCCATATTGTGTTCCTTGACTTGTTTCTGTGCATGATTATGTCTAATAGTTTACTCTTTAGTCTGCATGTTCCTCAAGCTAACGAGTTAAGCTAAGAACTTGTGATTTAGCACCCTTTTTCTGCTCTTTTATTGAATTAACTAGTTGTCTAAAGTATGGGGACTAATTGTCAGCACGAGCTCTTGGTTGACAGTCAAGGGACCTCCTGGATTGTTGTTTCTTGGTGCAGTGTTTTCTTTACTAATCTACAGAATATCAGGATTAAGAGTATCAGATAATCATGGTTGTTGCTTGCAAGTGATCTTTTATGAAGTTCGGAGGAAATTTTAATCATTTTCTACTGTTATATCATCTGAATGGACCATAGATGCTAGATATGTTAGAAGGAGCTAAATCGGATCTTGAACTTTTAGTAACTTAGAGTTTTTATTTATTTAGTTTTTAAAAGAATCTTTATTGTGCCATGGTTGATTTAACTATGTGTAAAATTTGTATATTGTAATTGCAGGATGACTCAGAGACTGTTGCAATGATCAAAGAGCTGCTGGAAACTCGCATTCGACCAGCAGTGCAAGATGATGGTGGGGACATAGAGTATCGAGGATTTGATCTGTAGGGTTTCCTTTTCCTTTTTTCTTTTTTATTAATTTTCTATAGTTTATTTTTGTTTGCTTTTTCTAAGCTGGCATTAATGAAATTTTACACCTTTTGTAGAGACACTGGAATAGTTAAATTGAGAATGCAAGGAGCATGCAGTGGTTGCCCAAGCTCATCTGTGACTTTGAAATCTGGCATTGAAAACATGCTGATGCATTATGTTCCAGAGGTAATATTTAGCAGCAGGAACCTTGCATTTTTAATCTTAGTCTGTTAGACTGTTTCCTGTTACTTGCATGATAAGATATTGATATACAAATATGGTGTCATAATTTTTGGAATTCATCGTGATCATAACCAATCTAGATTACATGAAAGTAAAACATCAGAAAAGGACAAAATTGCACATTGCTCATATTGCCTTGTCTCCCCTAGTTAAGCTAGAATTGCAGTATCAATCTCCATCCATGCACACACACACACACACAAGATACAGTTGATGCCGAACTTTGTCATGATAAAGATTAGTGAATACTATTGGCATGATGTTGATCGAAAGACCCAACAAAATTCAATGAAATGCTTTCTAGAAACAAAATATTGTTTTGTGAGATCCAATGGCCCCTAACAATAAGAGAAGTGTCTTTTCTTGCTTGCTAACAAGCTAGTTTCATGCTATTGATGGTAACATCTTCATCCACTTGAGTGCTTGATCCGTGATACTCTTATTTTTGCTTGGGCAAATCATTTGCAACACCAAAGCATACTACTTTCTGACTGGCCCTGGTACTGTTTAGGTGGGTGTTTTTTAGCCATGTTGATTGCTTATGAAGATATTCTGATTCAGGTCAAAGGTGTAGAGCAAGATTTAGAAACTGAAGATGAGGAGGCAGCATTGAGTGGTCAGATGGAGTAGTTAAAGTTATAGCAGTTTTCATTTACCAATCAGATATGCAGTGTGCTCGAGCAGGATATATGTTGCCTCCTTCCTGTGGAGGAGCAAATAAATTTTGCAGGTCAATTCATTGTGTAGTGTTTCATTGCTGTAATTGTTGCAATTATATGTACGAGTACATGTTGGCGGTATAAACGTTGTAGTATGGTCTATTTACCATATTTGCCTTAAAGCTAATTAATTTTAAGATTTCAAGCTAATTTTTGTTGCTGCTGGCTTCAACAATGATAAACTGGCGAGAATGAAAAGAAAAATTACAGATATTTATACTCATTTTTACGGCTCAAATGAATGGATTTTTTTTTTTTTATCAATGTTGAGGAATACTTCTTAGTTTGGTTAACCATGGGCGTTCATGTACTATTAACGAAAAGAAAAATTATTGGCTTGTGTTGTTGGAGGAATACTTGTTACTTTGGTTAATCCATAAGATCATGCTTGGTGTGTGTAGGATAATATCTATTACTTGGTCAAATTATAAAAATAAAGTAAAATTAAAAACTTTACTTAGGAAATTAAGAATAGTTAAGTTTTAATGTTGATAAATTTTTATTAAACAAGAGAATGAATGGGAAATATATATTCCTTTCATTTTCCTCATAAATAGGTATTTCTTAATTATTTATTATTGTTAAAAAAAAATAGACGATAAGAATTAACTATTCTTAACTTTTTTTTTTTTAAATATATTTGCAAGGGGCGGGTTTCAAACCCAGCCTGAAAAGGGGGAATGTACCGGGATCGCTATTGCCACTAGGCCGCAAAGGCGAGGTGCAAACTATTCTTAACTTTTTGTAAAAGTTTTTATAGGTTGACCAATAAAATAGCTATAACCAAAAAACCAAATGATCCGTTTCAAAAAAAAAAACAAACAAAAAACCAAAAAACCAAATGAGCCCTAAAGTAAAATTGTAAAGAGAGGGCTACAGGCTGATCCAAAAAATAAAAGTAAAAAGCAAGAGAATGAATGATTATTCCTTGCATTCATTTTTGTTTGCAGCTAGCCATTTTTTTATTTTTTTCTTTTTTGGGTTTGATGAAGCCA